AATCTTCAAGAACTAGGGTTTCACAAGGTTAAAATCTGTATTGACCTTATTTATGTGTAAACCTCAACTTTTACAGCCTTGATTCAACTATGGAAACTTGCTCAGATGATAATAATGCAGCTCATAGCAAGTTATAAGGATATTAAGTTCAGATCAACAAGCTAAACCAGTAAAAAGGACTAAAACACAGGTCTGAGAAATCAAAATCAAATGTAGCTAAAAGATGGTCACAAACATGCTTTCTGCAGATGTAAAATGATAAGTTACACTTGCCTCAACTTTGTCTCAACACCATAACAAGCTTAAACCAAACTTAGGCCTTCAAACCAACTTCTGCACCAACAAACATCATAGCAAACAGCCTCCATTTGATAATCTGCTCTTGTGGATTCTCTGAGTGTATTTCTGTGCTCAAATCAAGCTTTGATAATTACAACTAATATAAAAAATGTGTGTTCATATTCAGCTCACTTTTCTCACTCAATGCAGTTTGCCTTAAAGTTTTCTTAAAGGCTTAAACCCTAGAATAATGATATAACAACATATATATAGTACTCATCTTATCTGAAAGAGGAAACATATGTGTTATCATTATCCAATCATTGGCCACAGAATAACGTGTAATTCCTTCGTGAATGTACCATAATACCCCTGCCACCTTTACAGAAAATATCTTCTAGCATGCAAGCTAATTGATAGCTTGTGTATGTATATGTATACGAATATATAACAAGCTTAATCACTAAGCAAAGAATAACAGCCTACATATTCTCATACTAAAACCACAAGACACGTGTCACAAGAATGTTTAGCAATTTGCTTTAACCAAAATGCCCTTGCAGTGACACTTGTTAATATACACTGTCTTCTGCAGTTGTGACTGTGAATAATTGATTAACCTGAGAATATAAGCAATTCAATACAATATACTATCATACACAAGTGTACATGATATAACACGTATGTGAAAAGACCTAATTGCTCCTAAAATGCTCTGTAACCAAAAATCAACTTATGTGCTAGGGCTTGTAACCCTAATTGGCCTGCAAAGAGAGTCTTAAAGACAATGTACCTTCCTTAGGTCATTTGAGTATTCTTCTTAATAATGTGGAATGACCAAGCTACCTCTGAAGATCAATAATATGCATTGTTCATGCCAGAATCACTTAGAACTCAATGTAAAGAACATGTGACAAACTTTTTGACATTTATAAGGGCAAACCCTAATTCAAACTATATATAAATATAAATTTTTATTTATATACATATTGAGTAATAGTATTATAAAACTTTAACTCATTTCTAATCTTTACACTAAGAGTTGCTCTTAAATGATTTAGAAAATAAAATTATGTGATCATTGTAATGATTTTTATATCATATATATTATACTGTTACTTCACTACTTAGTCATAATAGTGTTTTTGTTTTAATTCAACAAGTATCATTTCTTCACTTGTGACCATATATATAATGTCAATTTTTCGTAAAGGAAAAAGTTGAACAGTTTAGAATGTGTTCATATTATTTTCAGGATTACCAGATAGACTTGTGTTAGAAATGTCGAAAAATGTTGGCCTAACTACTGCCTAAGTGTTTGAAAAATTTCAACAAAGTATTGGCTATATATCCAACACAATAAAATTTAATTTTTATTTATGAGCAAATAAATGAAGTATCTAACAGTGTCCGGAGAGACACCAACACGAATATGACATAAATACAACTACTTAATAGAAATTTCCGGGCTTTCTAGGCCTCCTTTTTCTGCTAGAATTGAAAAGGATGTATTTTTCCTTATTCATTCGATTGAGTCCCGTGACATAATTTTGGACCAATAATTTTTCTCAGTTGGTGGTCAAAAGAGAGATGAACTTAATGAAAATGTATGCTATTTGAAAATTTGGACAAAGACAACTCAGGTACATATAAAACACGCCCATGCATGAGAAACGTGGATGCAGAACCCTCCAATTACATGCACATGATTTCTTCAATTTAACTAATTTGATTCAACCTTTTGGTACTAAAAACTATAGTCAACAATTCTATTATTTATTCTCACTTTTTATTTTGAAAAAAAAAATTTGACCGTGTGACCTGTCTCGTTACAATTATAATGAGATTTAAATTCAAGATTTTGTCTGCTCTAATAATATTAGGTTAATCATATTTGTTTTAAAAATTAAATCTTTCACAGTATTAATTGATTAGAAGAAAACATACAATCATAATTTACGTTGAAGTAGGCTATACATCTCAATCAAATATGAGTCTCATCTACTATTACACAAATGGACCTGACAAATAGGAATCATTTTTCTAATTATATAGGAGTTTTTGTTTTATGCATGAATTTTTTTTTTTTCCTAATTGATATTCACACGCTGTCTCTTTACGGAAATCATTTATTAGATTGTTTATCAGACAATCTAAGACTTGATGTTTCATGAAACATGTCCAAGTTCTCACCCGCGAGGCCAACTCTTAGAATTATTGCATTAATTATTACATAAAGAGGTGTGGTAAATACAGTCGCTCAAGCGACTGTGCATTCACAGTTGCACATTTAATTGGTTGAAAAATCCAATTATAGAAGTTGCAATTAATTTCTCTTTTCTATTTTTTGAAACTATAAAACTTTAACTTTTTAAACCAAATTATCCTTTTATATTTCTTTTTTTTTTTTTTTTTTTTTCTGTCCTATTTGTACTTATATATATATATATATATAACCTTCATTCTTTCTTTGTTTATCTACTTTATTCTTTCTCTCTCTTTTTTAATTGTTTTTAACTCTCTCTCTCTCTCCCTCTCTCTGTAAATATATATATGCTCATCATGTGAATAATTTTTCACGGCTTCTTCTTCTTTAGATAAAGAGAGAGAAAAAAAAAATTATAAATTCATGTGAATTGATTGCTTCTTTCTTTTTTTTTTTTTTTTTCAATTATTTTATTATATATATATATAGTAGTTAACCATACTCTGAATATCTCATATATTAACTAAAACTCAAATTTTATAATATTACTTTAATTAAAAATCAATCTCCTCAATGTCATACAGTTATTTTAATTAAATTACATAAAATCTAATAAAAAATCCATCAAAATGGAACGTGTGTGTATATATATATATATATAAAAGACAAGTGAAAAAAAAAAGAAAGAATGAAAGTAAAGAATAAAGTATAGCCATACATATCCAATCAGGCAAGAAAGAGGAAAAAAAGAAGAAGACAATTGTTAAAAATAAATAAATAAAAGTTAAATATATGTAACAAAGGAAAGAAGGAAGGTTATTAAGTATAATGAAAGAGAAAATAATTTAAAGCAAGTGAACGTGCATTCACAATACAACTGTTCTCCTATTGGTCCCTAATACAATTTTATTTTAGCTTTGTCTTATCATTAATTCATTTTTTTCTCTCAACCATTTCACAACTTTTAAACTTCTTCTGATTTTTAAATTCTCTTGCACATGCTTGTTTAGAATAATATTCCTTTTGTACTTTGTAATTTTTTTGACCATCTTACAAATATTTTTTAACACAATTAAATCACTATTTGTTAAATTAGAAGTTAAAGATACAAAAGGCTCCAACCGGACTCCTCACTCAACCACTACAAAAATCTAAATTGTGTGTTTTATTGCAAGTTAAGTAAAGATAATAAATTATTAAGGAGAATACTTAGGTCCTCGCTAGTAAAGATTTATAATATGGTCACGGCTGATATGGACCAATAATAAATTGATATAGAATAATGATAAAGGAATCGAAAAGGAATCCCCGAATTAACACCGAATTTGACGTGGTTGACTATACTTCAAGTGTTAAACAATTATTTTTTAGAAACTGTTTAAGTAGATGAGATAAACAAAAACACGAGACTTATTCGGAAAAATCAATCGGTGACCTTATCATTTTTCATTGATATATAATCTTTAATTATCGATGAGTTAAATACTCACTTACCAAATTAATGATAATAATTTAATTATCATTTATAATTTAATAATTAAAATATAATTTGTCTAATTATTATTAATCTACATCAGTAGTGAGTATGTTATCCTCACTAGTAAGACCTAAGTATTGTTTAATTATTAATACTATATTAGTATTGCAATATACCTGAGATGGCCCTATTTCAATTCGAGGCCTCAAAGTGCATCAACCCGACCCTGATTGTTTTTATACTCTAAATGCACATCGTTTTCTACACATGCATTTACCATTACCAACACTGCGTCTATGAACCCATGATATAAAACGATTTAATCATGTTTTAAAAGTATATTCACACTTTACAATTGTCTCAAAAATAATCACATCTAAATAATTGTGTCTAATTTTATAAAAAGAGAAAAAAAAAAAAAAAACCTGCAATAAATTGTTTATTGCTAGTGGAAATGATTCCCATGACAAAACCTTGTTTTAACCATTTCTTTAACTCAAAATATTCCTTGTGGATATAGATATACATACATAAAAAAAAATATTCCTAGTGCTCATATCTATTCTTAGTGCATAAAATTGTTTATTCTTAGTGTGTCTTCGTGTGAGAAGTTATTACGTTATGAATAAGCCCAGACCAATTACTATTGAACACAAATCCACCAGCATCATTTTATCCCCTTTGACTCCCTAACCTACTAACCCATTGCCAAGTTGAAAAAAAAAAAAAAAAAAAACAAAATTATTATTAAACATGTAAATAATTATGTTTAAAAGATTTATTTATTTATTTATATGTCTAATAATAATTAACTGAGAGCAATGATTCGGACCATAGTCCTTCCATAGAAGCTTATAATGGACGGTAAATAATGTTGAGAGAAATTGGGCCCACTTTAATTTTTATAGTACAAGACCATATGCTATTTTACAAAAGGAAATTTGAGGAGGTACATGGGAATGATGGAGGAACGACGTCGTAACACAGTCTTTATGATTGATTAGTTTATGCAATACCAAAAGCATATAAGCATAAACTAAACGCATGCATTCCACGAGCCGAGGTGATTCTCCTCTCGTCTTATCCGTGTTTCGTCGGCTATTCTCCACCTTCTCTCTCTAAAACTCACTTTCTTCTTCTCTATAAGAAAACTCTGCCATTGCTAGACCCATAGAGTAGTTCGATAATTAATTCTACACTCTCTCTCTCACAGAATAGTCATATAGTTCTACACTCTCTCTCCTGTTCCGTTTGAATTTGAGGATCAGAATTCACTAAAAGGGGCTTTTGATGGCTCTGAGTTTACTCTCCCCAGCCGAAATCAAGGCCATTTCGTTTTTGGAGTCCTCTAAATTTAACCACAACCTTCACAAGCTTCAAGGTCCCTCCCTCTCTCTCTATACATAATATATGTATATATTTCTCTTTTGTTCCTTTTTGTTGCAGTTATAGATTTATTAGAAATTTACTACTTTCTGTTGTAAAGATTACTTAACTGCTTCAAGTGTGTACTGCTGATTTCTCTGTCGTTTGATTGATTTTTTTTTTTTTTTTTTTTTTTTTCTGAATATTAGTGCTAATAAAATGATGGGTTTCATGTACTCCAATGCTAAATCAAATTTTCACTTTTATTTTTGTGGGTAATTGCTCACTTCTCTATGGTTACCAGGATTCAATATCTCTTTCTTTTTTCTTTTTAATTGAGTTTAGTTCAGCTAAATTGTTATATCTTATGCACGCCTAATAAGTTACAATAATGATTTTGATTCTTTACGTTCCTCTCTTGCAAGATTTTATTGCGATAAATCTGAAGTACAGAAGGGGTATATATATCCTTTTCTTTTTCAAAAAATATAGGGTTTGAAATTCTTTAGACTTCGATTTGCTTAGGGACCTCTTGGAGCTGAATTAATGTTCTAATGTTGTGTTGATTTGCTAAGGGACCTCTTGGTGCATACTCTGGTTTATTGATGGGAGGACTAAATGTTCAATTTTCTATTTTATAATATTTTAGGTGGTGTTTCTTTGAGAAGGAGGGACTGTGGAGCAACATTTGGAAAGATAGTTCACTGTTCAGCACAGCCACCTCCTCCAGCCTGGCCGGGACGGGCTGTTGTAGAGCCAGGTCGTAAGACTTGGGATGGTCCAAAGCCAATCTCAGTTGTTGGGTCTACAGGTTCTATCGGAACTCAGGTGAAGAACTTCTATTATTATATGAAATTAAAATAGACTATCATTTTTCACATGCATACTTTTCTATTATCAATTTATTAATCAAACATGTTCTTGAGGAACTGCTTTTGACTAGCTCATCTTGTCAAATTATTGTCTTACTCTGGTGATTATTGTGCTTTTTATTTAAGTCATTCTCTCCTCTAATACACATACAGTGCAATGAAAGTGGCGTTATTTTGGCCCAGTTTTTGTCACGTCTTTATGTTATGGTCAAACAAATTTCAGGCATGTGTTTTGCGTTTTTAGTTTTCTTTGACTTCTTACAATCATATCTTGGTGCTTTACAGACACTGGACATAGTCGCGGAGAACCCAGATAAGTTCAGAATTGTGGCACTTGCGGCTGGTTCAAATGTTACTCTTCTTGCTGATCAGGTGGTCAATCTAATAATTTTTCAATGTTGTATAAACAAGACAAGGTCTAATATTTTAAAATTTTGACAAGCTATTCATAAATTAGAGCTGAATAAACTTTATCCAAGTTACTTGATCTGACAGCTCCAATTACCAACTATATCGTGAGACACTTGTTGCCTGATATTGTAGGCCTCTGTTATGAGTCTAAGATATTTGATTTTTGAGATTACACTTGAGCTGATTTGCAAAATTGATTTTGTATTGTTATTGTTAATTTCTGGTAAGGCATGCACTTACAGAAAACGGTGAAATTGAGTGAAAAGTGAATTGGCTATGGCGTACCACTAATCCAAAGTCAATAGGAAACAATTTCTGTCCCGTCTGTATTTGGTCTTACAAATTGTAATATTTACTAATGATTCTATTAATTGAAAGATAAGCTATCAAGCTAGGTTATCGTTTCCAACATTGGGATCTAGGCGTACATCTGTCTTATTGTACTCAAAATAAAAATAATACGTAGTTCTGTTTTAATTGTTGTCTCCAACCAAAATTGGGGTTTTCTGGTAAAGTTGTATCCAACCTGAACTTGATCTTGCCTCTTATTACCTTTATATTCATTTCCTGAGTTTTGATAATGAAAATGTGTTTTATTGTACAGGTCAGGACATTCAAACCTCAATTAGTTGCTGTTAGAAACGAGTCACTGGTTGATGAACTAAAAGAGGCTTTGGCTGATGTTGAACACAAGCCTGAAATTATTCCTGGAGAGCAAGGTGTCATTGAGGTTAGCCCGATTTCCTCTCTTTATATCGGGACCTGGCTCACGTACGAGGATATTGTTTGCTTTGCACCCTATCAAGTTCTTATTTCTCTCTTCACATTACATTATCCTACTTTTATATATATCTTGTATGTATATGGAAGTTCCCCTCCAAGCATAACTATTAATGTTACCTGACCTTATTCAAGGTATCCTAACTGGACACTACTTCCTTAGTTTTTTTCCTTTTGTTTTAGTTTTAGTTTTTTTTTTCTTTTGTTTAGTTTTTTTTCTTTTGGTCAAACCTTATACTAATGGTAAGGGACAACTCTAATTTTTGAGTGTCCTGTTCACAGCAAGATTTAGAGTCTCAACCGATCGAAGTATTGGTCGAACCATACTGCTGAATTGTCGATCAATTGAAACGCTTTGGAGTTCCGTCGATCGATCAATAAAATTCTCGATCAATCGAGCCTTAGTGATTTCTGGTTCTGACTTTAATTTTCATAAAAATATATCTTTGACTTAGTTTTGGAATACCAAGTTACTTTAGAACATTTTTAAAGCATGTTAAGCCCCAACCCATGAATATATTGGCTAACCTAAGGTCAATATAAGTTCATTTACCTGTGATTGAATATCCAACTTTCTTGAATTCTACATCTGCCATGTCTTTAATTGATGTTCTTGAACAACTTAACGGCCAACACTTTATGCAAGTATGTGTTGATGAGTAATTTGCCAACACATTGCTTATTTTCGTAACACTTCCCACTACTACACCATAAGTTAGAAGTTTAAGGGTGCTAACTGACCATGGATCTTTAATTTTAACCGTTCTTGAAAATTTTGAGCCTTAAGGTGTTCATCAGCCACCATCTTTGGTGCATATATAGATAACTTAGTAAACTTGGACTCTTCCTCTGCCAAAATCATATCTAATGTAAATTAATGAACATTACTCTTTTCTGACTCCTTGCTGACCATGGAAAATACTTCTCCAAACATATTTTCTGAAACTGCCTCCAAGTCATCTGTGAAGTATTGGGTGTCCTTAACCATTTTCCACCATATATCAGCCTTATCTTGAAGTATATACTAAGCTAAAGTCACAGTTGTCTCTCTGTGACGACAAGTAAATTAAACTTCTTTTTAATCTCCCTTAAGAAATTTTCATCTTCATTAAAATAAGGAGGATCAGGTTTCATAAACTCCTTTGCCAACTTCACAGCTCGATCCTCTTCAGTCCCTGCATGAACTGATTTGACTTCTTGTCCTGCCTGATTTGAAATATTTGGTTGATGATTTTTGAGCTTGCCGCCGCATTATATCTACAATACAATGAAGCGTTTGATAGATGCCATGTACCTCCTCCCGTCTAAAACTAGCAAAACTTTCACTCTAGTCATCTTAAAAATTAACAAGCGAATCATGATTAATAATCCTCTCCAAAAGTTTCAATACACAATTTTAAAAAATCTCCAAATATTCCGCAAACCCCAAAAGTTTATCGATCAATCATACATTAACCACAAATGTAATTAGATCAAACAATCTTGTGAGCTTTTATCAAAATCTTCTTATTCCACAACGATTTATAGTTTTAAATGTGCCTAATACCCCATTTGGATTTATTCTCTTGGCTCTAATGCCAGGACCCACCTCACACTGTGTAGATATTGTCTGCTTTACAGTGCTCAAGGTTTTAAAATGCGTATACACAGGTAGGAGGCATCCCCCTTATAAGTGCTAGCTACTTCTTTCCCCAATACAATGTGGGAAATCACAACTGGCGTGATCCTTGTGGTCTTATGCACACTCCCCCTAATTACAGCTGAGGATTGTCTCTGATACCGTCTGTCAGGAGTCAGGACCCTCCACACACTCTGCAGATATTGTCCACTTTGCACCCTCAAGTTCTTATTTCTCTCGTCACGCTTCATTTTCTTACTCGTGTACATATCTTATATGTATAAGGAAATTCCACTGGTAGCATAACTAGTAAGGTTTCCCGACCTCATTTATAGTATCCTAACTGGACACTACTTCCTTTTTTTTTTTTTTCAGTCGAACATTATATTAATGGTTTAATCCTTATTCATTTTGTTTGCCATGTATAAAAATATATATATATATAACTAAGGACCATTGTAGCTATCAAATAGTTTCTGTTATTCATATTTTCAAGGTAAAGTTCTTACGGAATCTTCCTTAACGCCACAAGCTTCTTCCAACTGTTATCTCTTTAACCTTTTTTTTTTTTTTTTCATTTTCTATACATATTATTTATATATATATATATATTAATTATAAATAAGTCAATGCAAAACGGGTCATTACACTTGTTATGTTTCGCAGATAGAGGTTATTCTCATTTCTTGGTTTACATTGTTCAAATTTCATTTCAGGTTGCCCGACATCCAGATGCTGTCACTGTAGTCACAGGAATTGTAGGTTGTGCAGGTTTGAAGGTAAACTTCTAAATCAATCCATTTGAATTTCTTTCCTAGTTACTTCCCTTTTAGACCATTTTAGCCAAAACATCTAGGGCTTCAACTCATCTATTAATATAACATGTGATACATATTAAGTTCTAGTTGTTTATGTTGACTGTATTATTATCTAAAGGATTAACATATTTTCCAAAAGGAACATTGGAAATCACACATATGTTTCTGCATATGTATATGTATATGTATATGTTTCATGTATGTGTATTTGTGTATATGTGTATTTGGAGTCACGCACACATGGCACTTCTTCTGAATCAATATATGCATACAAGTGTTGGTACATGACTGCTTGAAGCACCTTATGGATTGATGAGAGTTGTTCTTGTGAGCATGTGATTGACTAGTGTGTTTACACTATTCTTATTTTTATTGCATGAAGAATCTTTAATGGATAAAAGATTCTTATTCATGTTATAGTGTGATGAAGGATTTCTATTCCTTTAGGTCAGCCAAAGAGAAAATTAGAAAAAAAAGAAAGAAAGAAAGAAAGAAAAAAGATTATGTTTCTTCCAAGCTGAGGACAAGTCAAATATAGTGTTTTGTGGAAACCTTTCATCCAACTTCAACATGATAGAAACATATGTTAGCATGGATGGGAGTTCACACTATTGTGGTATCATATTGTCATTATTACTTTTAAAGGGTTAATTTCTTAATGTAGACCAATAAATAATAATGTCTTCATCAAATCACCCAAGCTAAGTACTTCATGTTAGCCAGCTAATGAAACAAACAAAAAATAAATAAAATAAATAAATAAATAAATAAAAAGAAGTAAAAATAAAAAATAAAAAAAATCATATAGATCGGACTTGGAACTTGTTGGCTTTGCTGCCTTATGATAGAAATAGTACATACCTGTCGTAGCTTGTAACTTCGTCTTGCCTAATATCATCATAATGAATAAAAAGAAAGGAAGGAAAATCCACATGGGTGCAACTGTGTGAGTGCACACAGATAGAGACCCTTAGCAGATATAAACAAAAGTTGAGGTTTTTTGACCATCCATCTGTTTTCCTTGCGGACTTGAAAATATTCTGCAAATGAACTTTGGTTGCTGGTTTATTTGCTGAATGCATTTACACATTGTCTGATGATGATACTTTTTGAACAAAAATCTAATTATTCTATACTCTTCTTCTGATTTATTAGCCAACCGTGGCTGCAATAGAGGCAGGGAAAGACATAGCCTTAGCCAATAAAGAAACTCTAATTGCCGGGGGTCCGTTTGTCCTTCCTCTTGCACACAAGCATAATGTAAAGATTCTTCCTGCTGATTCGGAACATTCTGCTATATTCCAGGTATGAACACACATCTTTCTTGATAGGTAAGTGCATCAATACAGAGGCCTCCATTGTATTTGTTGCATCCTTTTAGACAGTCAATGTGAAGCCAAAATATAATTCCATGTGAATTATATCGTGCCACTGTTCTATATATATTTGCTCCCAATTTTTATTCCTGCTCATTACAAAAGCTAAAAGAGATGCCCTTGCTTCAGTGTATTCAAGGCTTGCCAGAGGGTGCTCTTAGGCGCATTATTTTAACTGCATCAGGCGGGGCTTTCAGGTTTGAAATTTTATTTCAAGAATGAAGCTTTTGAATTGTATTTAGAATTTATATCTGATATGTGTCCTGTAATATAATTTAGTCATAGTTCCATTATCTTAAAAGTGATATTTAACCAGTTATTCTTCTGTTGCTGACAGGGATTGGCCTGTTGCTAAGTTGAAAGAAGTTAAAGTTGCTGATGCTTTGAAGCATCCAAACTGGAATATGGGAAAAAAGATTACTGTGGATTCTGCTACCCTATTCAATAAGGTCATTTCTATTTCCGTTTTTTCATTTTCATATCCAAGCACCATTTTATGTCTTATTGATTAATTATTTTTACGAACCATGCTATGTTGATTAAACAGCTAAAGTGGTGGTTCGGTCATAAGCAGGGAATATTTTTAGCCTGACAGGTTCTAATACATTATTTTCTTTTTGACAGGGTCTGGAAGTTATTGAAGCCCACTATCTTTTTGGGAGTGAATTTGATGATATTGAGATTGTTATTCACCCCCAATCTATTATACATTCAATGGTTGAAACACAGGTTTAATTCTCTCTTAATTTTCATTTTGCTTATTTCCTGAGGCTTGGATCGTTTTTGAGATTTCATGCATATATTTTATCAATAAACTGGTTTACTTTAATATCTCGAGGTACCCTGTTTTGAATCTGACAGAATGATTTTTTTTTTTTCTCTTACTTTTTCCTTTGCAGGATTCATCTATCTTAGCACAGTTGGGGTGGCCTGATATGCGATTACCAATCCTCTACACATTATCCTGGCCAGACAGAATTTACTGCTCTGAGATTACTTGGCCCCGGCTTGACCTTTGCAAGTAACTAGCAGATGTCCCTTTCAGATTGTGATTTTGATTTTCATTAATTTTTTATATTATTTTTCCTTCAATTTTATATATGTAAACTTTTAAAATGTAGTTTCACTATCCATAAGTTACTTTTCTTAGGTAGGTACCATGAGTTACTTCAGCTTTAGAGTGACCAGATATTTAATCAAAGCCTATTAGCATGCCATTTGTCTTCATATCTACAACTAGGAATTTACATTTCTAACAAAAAAAAAACAAAGGATTTTGCTACAAATAAAGAATATGGAGGTCAATTTTTCTCCATTTTCTTGTCAAAAAAGAATTTAATTACCTCCTTAGAAGTGAGGAAAAGAAAGAAACTAACTCAGTGTTTCTTAAAAGAGAATAACTAAATCTTTAGTATTCTTGTCTCGCACTTATTTTGACTTTTTATGGAAGTGGTTTCATTTACTAAAATGTCTCTTTTGTTTCCATCCAGTTCTGGTAGGATTTTGAATGAATACCATTTCTGATGTGAATTTTTGTATTTGTCAATGAAGTCCATAATTTATTAACATACAACATATTTAAACCTTATATTTTTATTTTGGTTTGATACAGGCTTGAATCACTGACATTCAAAACTCCTGACAATGTCAAATACCCATCCATGAATCTAGCCTATGCTGCTGGACGATCTGGAGGTACCATGACAGGAGTTCTTAGTGCGGCCAATGAGAAAGCTGTTGAGATGTTCATTGATGAAAGGTATGTAGTTAGATTCCTATTTTTACTTTGTCTGTTAAATGTTTTTCTGGTTCCGCTTTCTGACCTGTTAGATTGTCAGAAGGAACTGAAAGCGTGCGTGATTTTTTCTGTTAGTTTTTGCAAAATTTCATGCAAATTAGTATCACTTCTAAAGGGCAGGCTGTTAACAAAATTTGAGTATCAAGGTTATGGGTGTTAGATCAGGTTAATGGATGCCGAGACTGTTAAAACCAAATTTGTTGACTTTTGTCAGAAAAAGAAAATATGTTTACATATAAATAAAATAATAAATACCATCATGCTGACAAGGTTTAAACAACAGTTCCACTTAATGTTACTCACCTTTAATTTTCCTCAGTTTTAAATTCCAAAGCTATCAACTAGTGATAGTATAAGTGTTACGGTGCAAAACTAAGTGGAAGGATATATTGTACTTCAGAGACACATAAAGATAACTTTTCCAGAAATTTGTTAATACCTATCATCAAATATAGCTGTTGGTCATACACCCATTGAGCTTGTCAAGACAAAATTAATTTATTGTGATTACAAATGCAATATAAAGCAAGGATATTTATACTGGGGAGTCGAATCCATATTGTATCCATATCGAATACAGCTGCTTCTTTAATACACACTGATACTTGTCCGTTATTTTTTACACGAATCCATAATTTGAAAACATTTTTCTACTTCGGACATGATCTGTTACTTCTGAGATGCTTTAGAAGAATAGAACACGTGATTGACATCTTTTCAACAGTAAAATGCTAATATTATCGCAGTATTATTGTTATGAAAAGTGGGGGTCCTAATACTTGGAATTTTTTAGAAATTAAGAATTGCAATATAATGAGAATATAGTGTTTAATTTAGTCCAAAGTCTATATGTGCACATAAATATCAGCTATTTCATTTGATTTTTATTATTTTAAGTTAGAAATACAAAATATTTTTTTCCATGAACAAGCACAAAATATTGTAGCTTCATAAAACAATTGTTTGTCAAAATCCTTTTAGAAGAGTATCAGTTATAATATAACATGACCAACAGTTATTTTTTTAATTTATATATATGTACATTTATCATTCATACAATGTATACATATAGATATATGTTGCCATATCCCTATCTTGTTTTCCAAGAATTTGTCAGGTCCAATTCTGGGTCATATTCTTTTCTGTATTCCCCATAATTTTTGAATTTCTTTGTCATAGATGACCATCCTTTTATTCAAATTAATCTTGGATGAACCCCTGAAAGTCCCAATCTATTCCTGTTGCATTAGTTTTAAATTTGTTATGCTGCAATAACCTTCGCGCTTTAAGTAGTATATGGTTATGGATGAACTTTTATAGGTTAATATTGCGTGTTTTACAATTGGTGGTGGCAGTATTTTTTTAACAAATCTTGTGTACTTGAGCCAAAGCAAAGAAAAAGGTTAGAAAATTACAGCGTCCTTTTTTTTCTGTCTTCCAAACTTCTGCCATCTTATAGAGTTGCTTTGTTAGTTTTATTACCATTCATAAAAACCAGACATTTATATGATTTTTGAATTTCCGAAAAAAAAGACATTTATATGATTTAAATTAGCAATTATGTTTTCCTTGAACTTTTGGACATAAACTAGATGGCTGTTACTCTTTAAGAAAATGGCTGTTACTCTTTAAGAAGATGACTGCTTTGTTTGACTTCATCTGAACGTCTGAAATGTCATAGATGTTTGAGTGCCTGGTAGTTGGTTGTATTTGACCATGTGATGAGTATTGTGCATTTCATGGAATTTTCAGCTAATGTATTGTTTTCCTGTTTCCAGGATCGGCTACCTGGATATTTTTAAGGTTGTAGAGCTAACATGTGCTAAGCATCAGTCAGAGTTGGTGACCTCTCCATCCCTTGAGGAAATTATACATTATGATATGTGGGCACGAAAATACGCTGCTAGTTTGCAACTCTCCTCTGGTTTAAGCCCTGTTCTGGTATGAAAAGACGGCCTTTCCCCAGGGAATGAAAATGCTGAATTTAGATTCAGAAGAATGTGTGGATGCAGTCCTTTGATGTCATCTTTCCGAGGTATGTGAGGCATGAATCAACTGTATCACATTTGAAAATTGATGTAAGCGTCTGTAATGTGTTCATTGTACTATAAGGTTATAAATATATGAATGCATTCTTTATCATTTGGAGTACAAAACTTAGCTTGATCTCCAATGGAAATGGAAAACCAAAAAAAAAGGGGGAAAATGATAAGCATGGTACATTATTTGTGCAAATTAAGGAATAAAAGGGGAAGACAAATGATGAAATTTGCAGTGTGAAGCATTCCAATATTTATCTTTTTCCTAAATTGAAGCCCTTCTGGATTGCAAGAAATTAGGCAGTCACAGTCTTTGTGCAATATTTTCCAGCTTGATTGCATTCTCTTTACTTCTAGTCAAAGATTTTTCTGAAAAAGAAATTTGTATTTTTAAAAATGTTTTTGTTAGTGAATCAACTAACACTTGATCAAATTGTGATGAACCATTGATAAAGTATTCAAACTTTGACATTGCCATGTTTATTCAGTACAAATTGGATCTAGCTTGAGGAGAACAATTTGTTAATAACTTCATATGGGTTCGAGCTGATTGATCAAAAATGCCATTTTCATACCCAGTATGACAAAATGAAAATGGAACAAATTTTAAAGATACAGAAATACGTTAAAATTGAATCAAATACCCCACTTCAAAAACAGCGATGGAACAGAAAGGTTCTGGTACTCCATCATGAAAAAAGAGAGACTGAAGAAAACCTGCTGGAACGGCGTCATCGTCGACTTTGTGACGGACGTAGACACAGAAAAACCATCTTAAGAAAGTTTTTGAGAACTTGGCCCCTCTTTGGGATCCGACGAGGCCTACAGGAAGGTGGCGGGGGCCGGATTCTTTTGGTGGCGGCTTGGCGGGAGCAGCCATCTAATTAATATATATATATATATATGTATATATATATATATGACTATGTAATGGAACTGAGTTATAAGTGAGCAAGTTGGATGCTGAGCAGGCTACACAGTACACGATGCTTGAGAGAGTGTCGACGAAATGCTATATAAATTCCAAAGAAGCGTGAAGGCCGCGTAACCGAGTAAAGGAGCGTGTGAGGGCTGGGTTTGGGGGTTTAGTTTGTCTTCTCCAATTTAAAGAACCATTCTCTCTCTCTCTCTCTCTCTAAAACCAAACTCAAAAGCCTTCTTTTTCCTTTTTTTCTTATTAATTTGACCGAGTCCTCGTTCATCTCCCGTGGCGCATCAGCTGCTTAGAGTTCTTCAATAAAGCTCCTCGATATATATATATATATATATATATATATATATATTTAAACGATTATTTCTGCCACACACATCCAAGGAGTTGAGACTTGAACCTTTGTATCACACACAAATAAGATTTGAACTACTTTCCCTTTTTAAAATTTATTTATTTTTTCTTTCTTTCATTTTTCTGTTCTTTTAAAACAAGAAAACATACTTACCTAAAAAAAAACATCAAACATATTTTTCTAATTTAATTTGTTTATTAAAGCTATTTGTTTTAAAAAAAAAAAAACAGAAGAAATTTGAAAAAGAATGTAAAGTTACACTACAACTGCAAGCTTGATACAAGATGTGTTGTTTTCAATAAACAGAAGCAATTTAACCTGCTCTGCCAAAGTCCCATCTCGCTTCCCCCTATTTGGGACAAGTTTGGAATCAACCTAATAGGGTTAGGGGTGGTTTGAGAAGAGAGTTTAAAACCCGTAAAACTCTGAACCCGTATGTAGGTGCAAGAAAACTTTATCAAACGTGGTTGTGTGCGAACAATGATTCCTTACTCCAAATACCCAAGAAAATAATGCAATAAAATTAACGCAAGTAAATATAGAGGAGAAGAAAAATTAACACTCAGAATTGCCTGTCTTTCATTGGGATCTTAAACTTTTATTTATAGACTACAAACCCTAGTTAAGTCCTTCTCGGACTCGTTCCTTGCTATACAAGTTATTTCCATATTGAAATTTCCTTCATTATCTGGCCAAATCCTTTTCTTGATTGAATATGGATTACGTTTGGGCCTGGTGGGCTTCTTTTCGCTTATGGTTTTGCATTGGTCCACTAAACGAAATAGGTTGCTCCATCTCCTCTTATTGGGCCTACTCTATATTATTCTAAAATTTCATTTTATGGAGATGTGTGTCTTGTTGTAATTAGGCCTTCATGCACCGCACTCTGATTGGTGGGGATTTTTCCCTCCACACTCTGCTCTTAATTCCCTCTTTGAATGAGATACACATAGGTAATTTCAATTGCCTTAGAAGTGGAGGAGTTTATGTTGTTCGTGCCCATTATTGTTTCCCTTAAAACCCATGTCGTGGGGTTATGTGCAGCCGCTATTATAACTAGTTTTGCTTTATATATATATATATATACACACAAACACACACATATATCACTATTGCAATCTATGGAAAGGAACTCAATTATGATACACTCCTTCAATTCTGAAGATCCTTCGAGCAATCTTCTACAAACTTTACTTGGTTCGAGCCCTAAAGTCAGTTCCTTTCCCTCCTTTCATTCAATTTCATTTCTTTCTAGTCTTAATCATGAATGAGGAGAGTAGTAGCCGTACTATTAGCAACACAGCCCCACAATCTAAATTCCAAAATCAAAATGAAGGGAAGAGGTGGTGGTAAGGGATGAAGGCCCTATAATCCTTGATATAAGCACTATAGAGAGGAAATCTGATGAACCAAGGGGGGTGAATTAGTTCTTTTACAAAACCATCTTTAACACTTAGCCAAAATACAATGTTATTTTAGGCTCACATAATCATCCACAAGTACACAGTGATTTTATAAGGAAAATCTCTCTCAACTAGAGATCAAAAACCTTGGTTCTTGGCCTCAGCCATTGTAAGCTCCACTAGTTGTAACGCAAGTAGATACACACAGCTGTCTCTTACTCTGCACCCACCCTAGATCACATTAATGTGCACACAACGCTCCCCCTATCCTAAACAACACTGTTTGGACCCTATGAGCTCTCACAGCTCACCAAATACATTGAAAAGGGTGAATAATATCAATTCTTAAACTATTACACAAGATAAGATCGATTGTATAGCTCAGATGATAATATCAATGACACAGGCAAGGTATACAATAATCTCAGCTCAAAAGGACTATTTCTGTAGAAAACCCTAAAAGCTAGGGTTTCAAAGGCCAAAGCACCAAATGACCATTTTTCTATGCAGATCTTAACTTCAACAACCTTAATTCAACTATAAAAACTTACCAAGATGATAACAATGCAACTCATAACGTGATATACATATAATAAGCTCAATCAATAGGCTAAACCAATAAAATAAGCGTATATGGAGGTTTGAGACATTAAACTCAACTACAACAAGAATATGTGTAAGAACTTTGTTTCTGCAGTTGTGAATCTGTAGTAGTGAAATGGTAAAACAAACTTGCCTGAACCTTTGGAAACCTCTGTGTTGGTTCTTGTGTTTCAAAGTGTTTGCACATTTAATGTCAAATCCATGCTTACAATGCTGTAATTCTGTATTATCACCATTCATGCTATGTTTAGTGCCTTATAATATTCCTCAGGGGTAGTTTAGTCATTAACCATCCTATGATACTCTTTCATGAAGTTTAAAGATGGTAAATTGTATTTGCATCACAATTCTCAGGCCTTTTCTACTGGTTTTGATAAGGTTTATGGTGTGATATTATGCTACAGGGTTATCTAGGGACATTCATGTCATTTAACAGTTGTATTAGACCTTTTCACACTCGTCTAGTATACTGCATTGTATTGATCATCATAGAATTGAGGTGTATTACATGTTTTACAGTCTTAGTAACAGATTCTATGCATTGTGTGACAAGTGGCTTATAAAGGGGTATTCTTATCTTTATACTCAATGGCCTAATATGTGACACGTGGCTGTGGTATTAGAGTGAGTGTATATATATAGAAATGCATTTCTTGAGCACCAAATGTGGATAACAATAATGTATGTGCCTTACAATGTGAGCTATAATTTTTTGGTATACTAGAGGACGAAACAACTGAGGTGGCAAGGGTACATTGGTCCTTTCAATGAGGAAATGTCAGAATATTCTCTTGCCAATGATTGGTTACAGGTGCAAGGTGTATATCCTCTTTAGAGTAGGACTTGGATTGTATACTTGAATATATATATATATATACACTTATAACATTTCTGCAGACATAAGCCTCTTTTGTAAAACCCTAATTAAAACTACTTTGTGTAAGACTCGAGAACTGAACATGAAGTATCTTTCTTGAGATTATTTTTGATGACTTGAGCTTGGAATTCACTCAGAAAGATGCTTGGAGTGATCATAATATTGTTGAACATCTTAGTATCCATTTTGCTGTTAGTTTTCTGGTGCAAAGGCTGGATTGGGGGTTCACTTTTAGGTTGATCTTGCTGTGGTGCTAAGTCAAGGTTGAGATAGGTATATTTTGGCTTCTTACATTTGATGAGCACTTGTTCTTGAGCTATATGTTGTTGCAAGTTAATTTTGTATCTTAAACCTGTGATTAAACATGGTTTAGCCTTTTGATCTATGTATAATATAATTATAACTTGCTATGATGTGGTTGATTATCATTCTAGCAAGTTTGTATTGATAGATTAAGGCTATTGAAGTTAAGTTTTGTATAGAACTCTGGTCATTTCTGAATCTGGCTTTGCAAAACCCTAATTCTTAAGTTTTATGTGGTTTAAGGCCTATTTGGTGTTGATTTGTTACACACATTCTATATTAATTATAATTAGCATATGAGCATATATACATTGAAGATTTAAGGATGTGGAATTCATCTCTGAGTTTGAGGGTACACGAAATTCCATTGTTACCCTTCAAACCCTAGCTAATGCGGAATGAAGAACAGTTGTTGTTATTGAAACTTTGGCTATGTTTATCACTCTTATCTTGTAATACAGCTTGAGTATTGTTGATTATAACCTTATATATATATTTTTTATGAGCTGAGAGTGCACATTTGGTCCAAGTAAGGGTGATATGGACAAGAAGAGTGCAATGCGCCCTTAGTGGTGCTAGTGTGTGTGTAGAGATTATGAAAACTAGTGTGTTAATTTTTACAAGGGTGTGT